TGAGACAGGATGTCCAAAAGACTTCACCCACCCACCCCCATATGAATCTGGCAAAATCTATAGTCTTCATGTAGCTTCCCTGATAGATACATGTCCCCGATACTCAGGGCAGGGTCTTTTGCACAGCAGCATTCCAGTTGTACCTATCCCTCGCCAGGTGGTTAGGCCAGCTCCTTTAGACAGCCGATTAAAGCAATGTATCTTAGCCAATATTTTAATAGAAAATGTGATTCTTCAATTTCTCATTTTTAGTGGTCCCAGATTTTATTGCATTTTTGTTTCATTTTATCTATCTATCTATCTATCTATCTATCTATCTATCTATCTATCTATCTATCTATCTATCTATCTATCTATCTATCTATCTATCTATCTATCTATCTATCTATCCATCTATCCATCCATCCATCCATCCATCCATCCATCCATCCATCCATCCATCCATCCATCCATCCATCCATCTTATATGTCGCCCACTCAACCCAAAGGTCTCTGGGCAGCTTACAACAATTAAAATACAATAAAAGATAAAACAATTAAAATATATACTCTAAAAATTGCCATCAGGACCCACAGTTGATGTTATTTCAATTAAAAGCCTTCTGGAACAGGAAGGTTTTGACCTGGCACCGAAATGTCATCAGCGTCAGCGCCAGATGAATCTCAGTCGGGAGGGCGTTCCATAGTCTGGGGGCAGCTGCTGAGAAGGCCCTTTTATTGTCTTATTGAACATCACCTTGAACAGAGAGATGACCTAACAACAGACCAAAATAAAAATAAAATACCTCATCGAGTTGGGATGCCCTTGTTTTCACAGGGCCAGAGATGGATGGGGGCAGTACGTCATCTAATGTAGTACTACAGATACATTTCAGCTTTGTACACCCTGACTGGGTGTGGACAAACCACTTAGAAGGATAAATTTCAGCCTGACTGGGTGTGGACAAACCACTTAGAAAATCCAAACAGTCACTTGCTCTCTGGAGCCCTGACTGTCTCCTGATGTGTGAAATCAGTCAGGACTAGGCTGGGCATTTAGACCTGAGAAATGGGTAACACCTCTCTGAGGAATGGTGTGGTCCCAGTCTTTGAAAAAAAGCAAAAGTGTGCTACTTATATACCACCCTGTAGCACGTAAGACACTCTCTGAGTGATTTACAATAACTATGGAGGTTATACATTGTAGTGAAGCCTTTGTTGGTGGAGGAGGAGCAGGCCAGGTAGGTGGGGCTTGTCAGCTGTAGTGAAGCCTTTGCTGGTGGAGGGGGAGCAAGCCAGGTAGGTGGGGCTTGTCAGCCTCGGAAGGCAGCCCATCTAGGAGAAGGACAACTCCGATTTCAAACCTCCACTGCCTTGTGGCTATATCCACTGATGGAAAAGGCTTCAGGAGTTAACCTCGAGGCAAAATCCGGAGCCGGAGTCGCAGAGGCAGTTCGTGGCAACTCCTGTGACGTCGCTGGAACCAATTGTATTGGCTCTTGCCTTTCCATTGGACTATTTCAGCAATGTGGAGAGGGGGGATTTGCTGCTTGGGCAACAACCTATCCTCTATATTACTTTACCCAGGTTTTGCACTCTGGAGAGGACACTCCAGCTTCGCATACAGCATCGAAACAACATGGGAAGTAGCAGTTACCGGTTATAAGTCTGTGCTCAACTGGTATAGAGCATGATGCCAGGGGCTACTTCCGACGGTGGGAGGGGTCATTGCCCCTCACTAGATAGCTACCATCCGTCTTAAGCTGGGCAGTCCTCAGCCAGTAAGGTGCTGCCTAGCCATGCTCTGCTAACCTCACAGGGTGCATGGGGTTTAGGGTGAAAGCCAACAAGCAGATCGATAACCCTGCACCATGCAACGATCGTAAGAAAACTTCTGTCCTAACGTTGGGCACCTGGAATGTTCAGACAATGACTCCTGGCTTTTCTGATGACCTGCAGGACATAGATGACGTGCGCAAAACATCTGTCATTGACATGGAACTGAGTAGGCTGCAGATGAACATTGTTGCCCTGCAAGAGACGAGATTGCCAGAGATGGGATCTGTCAAAGAAAAAGACTTCTCATTCTTCTGGCAGGGAAAACCATTGAATGAGTCCAGGGAAATGGTGTTGGCTTTGCAGTCAGAAGTACTCTGCTGAGATCCATTGTTCCACCTACTGTGGGGAGTGAAAGAATCCTGTCTCTGCAACTCCACTCATCAGCGGGACCGGTCACCCTCATTAGTGCATATGCACCAACACTGTTGTCCACAACACTGTTGTCCAGAAGACAAAGACAAATTCTACGACAATTTGGCAGCACTATCAAAAAAATCCCTGAGAGAGAACCACTATTCATTCTCAGAGACTTTAACGCTAGAGTTGGTGCTGATCACAATTCTTGGCCCACTTGTCTAGGCCGTTTTGGCATTGGGAAGATGAACGAAAATGGCCAACGCTTGCTGGAGTTTTGCTGTTATTATGGTCTTTGTGTCCGCAATATGTTCTTTAATACGAAGCTTCAACACAGAGTTTCCTGGAGACATCCAAGATCCAAGCATTGGCATCAACTTGATTTGATCCTCACTAGATGTTCTAGCCTTCCTAGTATTAAGATCACACAGAGATAGCTGATTGCGATACTGATCACTCCCTGGTGTGTAGTAGAGTAAATCTGTGAGCAAAGAGATTGTATCACACGAAAAAGGAAGACCACGTATTGACATCAGCAAGACCATTATAGAAATCCACCAATGTCATTTAGCATTGTGTGTGAGAGCCATGAAGCAAACAAATAATTAATTCCTCTCACTTACACAATATCTGGACAAAGGTTAAACAAAATTTATTGTCAACAAATTAGATTTGCAGCAAGCATGCAAAAGAATGACCAACCAAGGAACTTAATCAGTGTACAGATTAATCTAGTTTATTATGGGAAATTGGGACAGGAGCTGCTATTATTAGCATGGGAGTCCCCTTAGGGATGTGAATCTCTCAGCCATTCATTCTCAAATTAAAAACCAAAGGGGGTGGGGAATATCTCTCTTCTCCTCATAGCCAAAGTTCTTTGCATGAGTTCCCTCCTGTTCCAGAATCTTCTGGGATGCCTTGGAGGTTTCACAGCATTTTTTTTCTAGAGGATGAACAAAGCTTCTCAATATTATTATCATCCCTGCACAGAATGACCTCTTTCCTGCACAGGATTCACCCAGAAGGGGCAGGGAAAAAAAGCAAGTTGCACAGGATTGGTATGTGCAGAACAGTATGTTTGCCATGCAGGAGTCATCCAAAATTCAAATGTTTTAGAAAGTGCTGTATTCCTCCAAAAGCTCCTAGCTCTCTTCGCAGACATATGTGGAAGAGGTAATCAATTACTTATCAGATATGCTGTTAATACTACTCACATTCACATTACTATGGACAAGAAGTTGCATATCTGGGAAAATGAATTCTGTGGATAGATCAGAATTTGCTTCAGTTGCTTTTCAAAGAAAAAGATCCACACATTTCTTCAGATTCCATGTTCTACTGCCGGAGGACCTGCCCACAGTAGTATTGTGGCAGGTCAACATGTTTAAGCAAATGGCCCCCTCCATATACAGAGATACTTCTGGCTCTTTTATTGTAAGTGAGGAGGAATTAAAGAACCTCTTAATGAGGGTGAAAGAGGAAAGAGCAAAAAATGGTCTGAAGCTCAACATCAAAAAAACTAAGATCATGGCCACTGGTCCCATCACCTCCTGGCAAATAGATGGGGAAGATATGGAGGCAGTGACAGAGTTTACTTTCTTGGGCTCCATGATCACTGCAGATGGTGACAGCAGCCACGAAATGAAAAGACCCCTGCTTCTCGGGAGGAAAGTGACAAAAAACCTAGACAGCATGTTAAAAAGCAGAGACATCACCATTGTCGACAAAGATGCACATAGTCAAAACTATGTTTTTTCCAGTAGTGATGTATGGAAGTGAGAGCTAGACCATAAAGAAGGCTGACCACCGAAAAATTGATGCTTTTGAATTGTGGTGCTGGAGGAGACCCTTGAATGCAAAGAGATCAAACTTATCAATTCTGGAAGGAAATCAACCCTGAGTGCTCACTGGAAGGACAGATCCTGAAGCTGAGGCTCCAGTACTTTGGCCATCTCATGAGAAGAGAAAACTCCCTGGAATAGACCCTGATGTTGGGAAAGTGTGAGGGCAAGAGGAGAAGGGGACGACAGAGGACAAGATGGTTGGACAGTGTCATTGAAGCAACCAACATGCATCTGACCAAACTCCGGAAGGCAGTGGAAGACAGGAGGGCCTGGCATGCTCTGGTCCATGGGGTCACGAAGAGTCGGACATGACTTAACGACTAAACAACAACAGCTTTAACATTTACAACCTTAAACGTTATTTGAAGGACTACCTTCACTTCATCATGTTTGCACCCAAAGAGAAATACCTTCTCAATGGGTGTTTCCCTTCTGTGACAGGCATTACCAACATGTGTCCCATAAGCCCCATCATTGTAGGCTTTTACAGAGCCTTTAAACCTACTTTTTGGCCGACTTTCTCTTAGTTTGGTTTTACTTGGGTACTGTGAATGGAAATGAGGTTAACTCTGTTAGGCTTTGTAACTGTATTAGCTTGGATATGGTATCACTTACGTTTTGATTGATTACTGGAAACCACGTTAAGAGGGTTTTTAACCTTTTAAGGTTCCTTGTAAGTATTTTAAGTAATAAATATGTGCTCAAAACATAAAGATCCCACTATGTATATGTGTTGCTGTTACAACTGTAAATTACAAAGCCAACTTACGGGAGCACTGCTTGGCTTTAAAAAAAAGTCTGTGTACCTTGTTTTAAAGTGAACGTGCATAGGTTGGTGACTGCTAACCTCAAAACTGAGCAGCATAGCAATAAATTCAGCAGCAGGAGCCACCCAAATAGAAGGTCACCAAGTGGTGTTTTGCAGTAAGTTGTGTGGCCATGTCATACTCTGTCCATTTATTATAAGGTCTGTTTTTTTTCTAGGGAAATGGAAAAAAGAGAATTTGAATTTGTAACAAAGCTCGATACTACACAGCAGAGGGATAAGCCTGCACCTTGGTGTCAAACAGGTAAGGGTATTTTCAAATATCTGTTGCCAGGAGTGCTTGGGGAAGCTGATATGTCTGGGAAAAGTTCTGATAAATTACAATTTATCACCTGTGGGGATTCATGATCTGTTTTCAGAACATTCATGTCAACAAAGAGATGGAACGATAGGCCTGTTAGAAGTAGTAGAGAGAAACAAACAAAACTTGGTATCCTCCGCTAAAAGCCACTTTTCTGCTTTAATTGTCCAAAAAGGAGTTAGTAAGCCATGTATTAAACAAGCTACAGAAAGCTAGATTTTAGACTGCTGCATGTAACTCCATTGGTTATTGTTTGTGGCTCTGTGAATCATGCCCTGGGTTATGCGCACCTCTGCAGAGCCTCATTGGAAGATTCTAGAGCTTCTGCGGTAGCAATGAACACATTAGAGTAAGCCCCTCCTCCCCGTATAAGTACCTTGGCACCAAGCCTCTCCTCTCAGTTTCTTTCAGCCACCATGTTGAGAGCCTCGTGTTCTTTCTGCTTCTGTGAGTAAAAGTGAAAGAGAACTTAATCTTGATTCCTTCTTTTATTTTAACCATTTGTCTTTGCTATAATAGATCAAGTTAAATACTACCAGTAGTTTTTTTTCCCCCTTGCTTGGCCATTTGGCCACAGCATTCCCCCCAGCCTCTTTTTTCGTTAATCAGTTTTTCCAATATTCATGGCCCCTTTGGGCCCATTTAAGCACTGCGTGGTCTGCGATAACAAAATACTGCTTTCGGACGCCCACGTTAAGTGCCTATTTTGTTTCGGAGAAGCACACCAAACCTCCTCCTGCACCCATTGTAAGAACTTCAAGCGCGAGTCCTCCAAGCTCGCCTGTCTAGGCTTAAACTCCGCCTTTGGGAGCAATCCCTTCAACCAACTAAAATGGCCCAACCTCCGTGTAAGGCCACTTCTCGGACCAAAGCAATGGAAAAGGCTGTTTCCAAATCATCAAAACAATGTCCATCAGTCACACCATCTCACTCCGACGTTCCATTCACATCGTCAAAGACCTCTAAAATGCACAAGTTGAAACCCTCGATACCAAGATCCTTGGCATTGAAAACCTCCACTAAGTGCCACTCCGGCTCCGGAGCCTTCTCGACCTAAAGGAAGCAAACGCCATAAATCCAAACCTAGGGTCATCACTCAACAACCTCAACAATCGTCTGAGTCAATTTTAGTTGGTTCTCCTTCTGATGATGATGGCCTCCCATCTCACCAACCTTGTTCTCAGTCACCGGAATGAGATGACAGAGTCAGCCATCTAATGTCCTCTCCCCCACAGTCTGCAACACTCTATTCCTTCAAGCAACCTCTCTGTTGTTGCTTCATCTAATGGAGTCCATCCCGAACAACTCAACACCATTCCCTATTCGGTGCCTTCGGATCGCCCACCAATTCCTATGCAGAGGCATCGGCAACAACAATCTCACGAGCCGCCTGCTCCATCGAGTGTGGCTCAGAGCCACGTTCAGCACGCTCATCGGGTTGCCCTTTGCCCCAACCAGTGCTCTTTCAGACAGAACCAGGCACTTTACCTGGTTCAATGGTACCATTTAGCAGTCAGCCTCGCTCTCGACAATCATTGGTGTCAAAACGGCCATATCACCAAGGCACTCATGGATCTCAATCTGCTCCCTACCTGGCACCTAAGAGACCTAGAACGGTCGAGCAACATTCTTCAGCACGCAAGGCTTTTGCAGCTCCAGGCTTCCATTATTTTCCTGCCAACCCAGATGATGAAAATCATTCCTCATGCTTGGCATCTCCAGCGTCCATATATTCCACTGCTCTACCACTGCATCAACAACCTCCATTTAGACATCACAGAGACACAGGCTCTGATATCGATGATCCTCGACATCCATCCTAATCCATGGACACCTGCTCCATCCCCCTACCTTCACACGATCTCCGTCTCCGGTAAATCCAAAACATCGAACCCGACACCATTATGATACTGCGTTCGACACCGAGGTCCATTCATATCATACAAAGTCCATTGACACTCAACCAACATCTTTCAATGTCGAAGGCTCTCAACAACAACAAATGTCCATGGACATGCCACCCCCATCTATATTGAGTTGTAACCACCAATACTATGACGTTGAACCTCTCAACACCAAGGTCGATCAACAGTCCATTGGCTCCAGCTGATCATCTGTATGATCCAATCTCTAAAAACACAACTATTTCAGTACCCATATTAATGCTACCATTCTTGCTTAGTACTTCACAACGATCCTGGACGAAACCAGCCTCCTCACATATGATGTCAAAATGAATTGATAATCTCTATAGAGTCCATGAACCAGGAGCCATTTTCCTCCAGAAACAACCAGCTCCAAACTCTATATTTGTCGAAGCCTCAAAATCGAGATCTCGACACCAACTGTTGCGTTCCCCCAGCGTCCCCTGTTTGTTTTCCCTCAAACACAGGTCGACCTTCAGACACGGTGTACTATTTTCTCCCTTTACCCTCTGCCACCAGTGGATTTTTATCCACACTGTACCAAATATGTTTCTTAGACTCGGGCTGCCAAATATAACAGGTTTATTTATTGTTTGATTGGTAAATCACAGAAGTAAAGTCATAGATATTATTTTATTGTTCAATCATTAAACTTGGATAGGATTACACATTTGCTTGTTTGTATTCATTCACATTAACCACTGTAACAATATCTTATGACTGTCTATCTATTTTCTATTACTTTTATCTCTTATCTATTCTCTAACACCAACTTTCCAGTCTCTGTCTTAACCTTCAAAACCTCCTCTCTAACTCCCCTCAGTCTCCTACTGTTCTGATTCTGCCCCTCCAGTCCTGCCATAGGCTCCTGCCCTAGAGCTCCATATGATAGCCAGGCATGACTTGGGCATTCCGCCACACCAACAAACACTTATACCACCAAATAAAGATAGTCGGAGAATAGATTCCATGGGTAAATGGCTTGACTCCTCTGCAGCCTTCACCATGCGAGTCGCTAATTATTAGAGAGCCATGGGAGTTTATCAGAGCTTTCTTTGGGACAACATGTCCACCTTTGTTGAATCTCTACCAGAAGATAAGAAAATACTTGCTCAAACCTTCCAACAAGAAGGTCTTTCCGTTGCTAAACTATAGATGCTCTCTGCTCTACAAACAGTAGACACTACAGCTAAGTCTATGGCCACTTCAGTAGCCCTATGCCGCTTCTCTTAACTTAGAACAGCTGGCCTGGATGAGGATGCCTGCACATGCATTGAAGACCTTCTCCTCAATGGGGCAGGCCTCTTTAATGCTGAAACAATGACATCTTAGAAAATGTACAAAAGAAAAGATCAGCAGCTAGACATTGGGGAGTTTACCCTTCCTACCAACAATGCCCTCAACAATGGAGGAAGCCTTATAACTCCTACCAAAAGTTCCAATGTAACCCTCCAAAACAAACATCTTACACACCCTATTTCAGAAATCAAAGAACCAAAACTCGGCAACAGCCCATTACTAGGCGAAATGACTGCAAATCCAAACATCACGTTTGACGCTCCTTTGACTGAGATCAAAACCCACCCTGCCCTCTGGAAACACCTGCCTGGAAATCCATCACCATGGATACCTGTGTGCTATTCATCATCCAAACTGGCCATCGCATCCATTTCTTTGAACTCCCTCAAACAACTAACATCATCACTCCACCTTTGCAAATTCTGCAAGAAGAAATAATAAATTTACTTCTCAAAAACACCATACAACCCATCTCTCAACACAACAACGGGTTTTTATTTTGCTATTTCACTATCCCCAAAAAAGACGGAGAGCTTCGCCCAATCTTAGATCTAAGAGAATTGAACAAATACATCATCACCATAAAATTCCATATGGTTACTCTGGAATCAGTTCTTCCTTTACTTTGAAAAAATGACTGGTTTACGGTCATAGACCTCAGGGATGCATACTTCCATATTTCAATACATCCTGCACAAAGAAAATTCCTTTGTTTTCAACTAGACTCACAAGCCTACCAGTTCAAAAGGCTCCCGTTCGGCCTTGCAACAGCTCCAAGAGTGTTCACCAAGTGCATGGCACCGGTAGCCGCTTACTTCAGACTTCAAAACATTCTCGTCTTTCCATATATCAACCACTGTCTCCTCGTAGCTCACTTCCGTCGCAAAGCTCAACAAGGCACCCATTTTGCCCTTGCCCTCCACAATCTCGGTCTTGCAGTCAATGAACAAAAATCAAATTTAAAACCTGCAAAGATTGTCCATTATATAGGTGCACTTATAGATTTTGCACAGGCCCGCGCCTTTCTCCCTACAGACAAGAGACAAAATGTGATCACCTTGCTTCAAGGTTTCACTCCTCATGCCATGATACCTGCCTTAACAGTACAACGTGTTCTAGGCACCATGGCCTCTAGGACATCAGCTGTACAACACGTAGGTCTAAAAATGAGATCCCTCCAATCTTGGTTTCTTGCTCTTTCGATCCTCCTGACACTGTCTTAAGGGTCACTCCAGAACTTGCCACCCAGCTTCAATGGTGGTATTTTCCTCTCAACCTTTCTGTCGGACAGCCATTCCAACAACCACACCCACAAACAAGGCTTAGTGGTCACCACCGACACCAGCCTCACAGGCTGGGGAACACACTGAAAATCCCCCAAAAAATCATGCCAAACGGTCTCACAGAAAGAAATTGCTCCACATAAACTAATTGGAGTGATTGGCTGTTATAAAAGCCTGCAAAGCTTTCAGAAATCTTCTTGTAGGCAAAATGGTACAGATTGCCACCGACAACACCATGGCAATGTACTATATCCTCAAACAAGGCAGCACTCACTCTCTAAGTCTTCTCTACTTAGTGGTCAACCTATGGTAGTAGTATCTGACACATCACATCTGTCTCACGGCCCTAAATATAGCTGGCCACGACAATGACCTCGCATACTTGCTCAGCCACACAAATTCCCAAGCTCACAAATGGGAACTAGACCAGTCAGTCTTTTGTCACCTTTGCGAGAAATGGGGCACATCGACTCTCGATCTCTTTGCCCCAAAACGAATCAGAAGTGCAAACGATACTGCTCCTGAGCCGGCATTGGCAAGCACTCACAAGGAGATGCATTTGTCAGCCATTGGCCCAAAACCCTCATTTACCTTTTTCCGCCATTCCCGCTCCTCCACAAGGTCGTGGTCCACCTTCAACAAGCCAAAACCAATGCCATCAGGATAGCTCCTTGGTGGCCGAGACAGCCCTGGTTCCCAGTCCTTTGCAATCTCTCATCAGACATCCACCATCTCCCCTGCCTGCCACACCTCCTCACACAGAACAGCTCCCAAGTCCTCCACCCGGACTTACCTGTTCTGCATCTGGCAGCAATGAACGCTAATGAACATTCTCCATCAAGCTAAAAAACCTTCCACCAGGAAAGCCTACCTATATAAATGGAAAAAATTTAAATAATTCACTGAATCATCCTCATTACCTTTTGCCAATCCATCACTCACCACCATTCTCTGTTTCTTACTCCATCTCAAGTCCAATGGCCTTTCCATCTCATCCCTAAGAGTGTACCTTTCTGAAATAGTTTCTTATCAACCTCCAAATTCTCCAGCAGCTAATTTCTTCAGACATCCAATACTAAAACATTTTCTTAAAGGTCTCTCTCATATGTACCCAGATACTCAACCACATTCTCCACAATGGTCGCTCAAAGCTCCTTTTGATCCTTTAGCTATAACTGATCTATGACTCCTCACCTTTAAAACAGCTTTCCTTGTAACTATCACTTCAGCTTGCCGAGCCAATGACTTAGCAGCTCTGCGTTCCAATTATCCTTACTTACATTTTCCCCCCGATAAGGTTAAGTTATTCATGGATATTTCCTTGCTTCCCAAAATTGTTTCTCAATTTCATCTCTCCCAACTGATCGTTCTTCCTTCATTCTTCCCATCACCTTTTTCATATCAAGAGAGACTTCTACATACGTTGGACGTCAGACGAGTCTTTGCCTTCTATCTCCAACGTACTCAACCTTTTAGACAATCACCTCGTCTTTTCATAAGCCATCAACTACCTACTAAAGGTCATCAGGTGACTTCCCGGACTATATCTAGATGGGTTGCCTCAACCATTCACTTGGCATACCAACTTGCTCGATAACCAGTCCCTAGAGTGATTCGCCCTCACTCCACTAGGGCAGTGGCAGCTTCTACAGCTTTTCTTCGCAGTGTACCACTTCCAGACATCTGCGCGTCTGCCACTTGGGCACAGCCGTCCACTTTCTTTCTTCGCGGTGTACCACTTCCAGATATCTGCGCTTCTGCCACTTGGGCACAGCCATCCACTTTCCGTCATTACAGACTCGACCTACGGCAGAAGTCCGATGCAGCCTTTGGACGTGCTGTTCTAGCTTCCACCTTGGTGTGACATCCTGCCTCCAGGTAAGAACAGCTTACCCAGGGTGTGATTCACACAACTAAAAGGAGAGACTTGGTGTACCACTTCCAGATATCTGCGCTTCTGCCACTTGGGCACAGCCATCCACTTTCCGTCATTACAGACTCGACCTACGGCAGAAGTCCGATGCAGCCTTTGGACGTGCTGTTCTAGCTTCCACCTTGGTGTGACATCCTGCCTCCAGGTAAGAACAGCTTACCCAGGGTGTGATTCACACAACTAAAAGGAGAGACTTGGCACCAAGGTACTTATATGGGGGAGGGATTATTCTAATGTGTTTATTGCTACCACAAAAGCTCTAGAATCTTCCAATGAGGCTCCATGCAGGTGCGGATAACTCAGGGTGTGAGTCACAGAAGTCCACTCAAAGGACTACAATTACAGGTGGGTAACCATCTTTCAGATCATGACTGTTTTCACAAGTTGAATACTACCTTTTCAACTTATAAGCAGAACCATGATGATATTCCCTCATTAGATTTCATAAAAATATTGGCACTACTGATTTTTTATATCTAAGAATGAGATGTGCCAGGGTCTCTAGCAGTCAGAAAATAAATGCGATAGATCGTAACTCAAATGGCAGTCATACCCTGTTCATGTTCAGACTTAGTATATTTGAAGAATGCACATTAGAATAGCCCTGCAATATAATCTCTGTAATGTACTCTAAACCAGCCTTCCTCAACATCATGTCATCTAGGTCAGTGGTCCCCAACGTTGGGCCTCCAGATGTTCTTGGACTACAACTCCCAGAATCCTTCACCACCACCTCTGCTGGCCAGGATTTCTGGGAGTTGAAGTCCAAGAACATCTGGAGGCCCAACGTTGGGGACCACTAATCTAGGTGCAAAGTCCAGACAAATGGAAAGCAATAGTTTGGGAAATCCAGCTCTCATGGTTCCCTCATATGCCTATATTTCCTCATTCAAGATCATTTTTGTTACATTTAACCACAATTAGGTAAAAACAGAATGGACTAGATTGGATAGAAACCCCCCAAGTTTCTAAAATACCTGAGCCAACTGTTTCTGTGAATGACCTGAGCTCAAACTAAAGTAACCAGACATATAAAATAAAGTGGTATCTTACCCAAGCATGTACTTAATCTGATCTCTTCTTACTTGATTGCTTTATACTTGAATCGGAAATGTGAACTTGCTCCATTGCCAAGTATTATGTTTGAGGCAATACAAAAACTCTGCTGTTTCAGTGTCTGATGTTTTTGGACACACACAGTCAAACACTAGACAAATTCCAGTCTTAAAAATTCCCAATCCAGAATTTATGAAGTAGAAGCCCTTTAAACAAAATTAATAGTGCATGCCACAAATCATGTAATTGTTATGGACTGAAGAAGTCACACTCGGAAGGGGATGGTTTAAGATGCAGTAGAACTTAAGCAGGAAAATGTGGATGGAAAAAATCAAGAAGGCAATAAAAAGAAAGGAGATTGTGGGACAATGCTTATACTAGTGGAACCAGCAGAGAGAGTGATTGGTGCCATTGTTGAGGAGCTTTAAGAAACTGGAAAATAAGAATAGTGGACAACAGGAGACTTATGATACTGCAAGAAGGTAGCATATTGATACAGGTTACTGAAGCAAACACCCTGAAAAAAGAGACTTTTTCGTATTGTGCTTCAGAGCTTTGCTGCTGAGTTTTCTGCATCTAAAAGGAAGTTGAAGGCTGAAGGCCTTAAATCACACTTCTAAGGATGAAATCCACTTACCTGGGAAAAAGTTCTGTGAAATTCTCAGACGTACTTCATAGTAGACATGTTAGAATATATATGCCCATAGTACATGGTTGCAATATCTTGTATGCTTACAGGACTTCTTAAAATAGCTAAAATAGACTTACAGTATTTTGGTAAATATATCACAAGGGCAGATTTTGAGAACCCCACCCGGATTATCATACACAACCAGTTAATTAACAGTGGTACACATCCGGAACAGGGTAAAGAACACTTAATGCCTATAGTTTCTGCTACCTCCCAGGAAGCAGAAAATGTGAATATAACAAAAAAAAGTTGCTCTTTCAAGTCTGTTCTAAAAAGAAATTGTACACTTTGTCACTTTGCTTTTCTATTAACGCAGAGGTATCCCTTTTAAGTGATTATCTGGAACAACTAATGACTTGTGCAGATGCCTGATAGGGCAACCGGTTGTGTCTGCCAATAGCACCATGTTTCAGACCTGTGGTCACTATCACCCACATTTTACTTTTCCACAATATACTCGAAGATAAAAATTTATTGGTAGCTCACTCAAGCACGTTCACAGAAATGAGAATAAACACAGTGATGAAGAAGAAACATGATGCATTAGAGCACTTCTCAGGTGTACACAAATAGGGTATTTTATCCCCTTGGCAGTCTTGACCCAAGAAGTAGTATGGAGTTGGCCTATGTCTAGCCTCACCAAATGTCTTACAAACAAACGAAATAGTTGAATGACTGTTTCAGTCTTGCATATTTTCCTTGCTATGTTGCATTATATGCCATTAACTCATATCTAACTTGTAGCAACCCAAGTAAGTTTTCAAGGTCTGTGAGATACTTAAGGAGTGGTTTGACCAGTACTGGCCCCCAGTGAGCTTCCATAGCTGTGCAAGGTATTTGAACCCAGATCTCCGATATCCTAGTCTCATCATTCTATCCACTACACCAGAGGTTCCCAAACCCCGATCCATGGCCATGTGCCGTTCCGTGGCCTGAGCCGGACTGGGCCGCCGAGACAGACCTACCGCCCACCCCCCCGCACGCACTCACTCCTGCACAGCCCGTTTGCACCTGCACACGCATTCCAGCACATCCATGCAAGCACTGCGCCACCATTTCTGCATCCGCACGAGTGCAAGCTTGCCCAGACAAGCACTGCACTGCCATTTGTACATGCGCACTAGAGAGCACCAATGTGAGTACCGCACTACCGTTTGTGCATGCGCACTCGCATGCATGCATAAATGGTGGGGCAGTGCTCACATGGGCTCATGTGGGAGAGTGCACACTTGTTCGCACATGCGCAGGAGCGCGGCGGGTTTCCCCACCTTCCCCAGCCGGTCCGTGGACCGAAAAATGTTGGGGGCCGCTACACAACACCACACGGGTTCCACAGTTAAGTCACCAAATTATCTTGCCTTTTTTTCTCTCTCTCTCTTTCTCTTTTAGAAATGCCGGAAGAAGCACATGATGAACAGGTAAAGAGTGTTAAAATAAAATTTCCAAAATCTTCCCTCATCAAGAGTACCATTTTTCTTTTAGGATTACTATTATCTGATCATTTGTACAGTATCTTCAGTATGCCTGGTGCTTTACAGGGTGCAAGAAGGTGGGTCTTTGTGTCAGGGAGGAAAATTATGATCTAAAATTCAGCACAAGGGAAACAAGAAGGAAAGCAAAGGTAAGGGTAAACAAATGAAGAAGATGCAATTGCCGCAGTTACACCTAACATAGACTTGGTTGCAAGGAATAGTTATTATGCAATAGTTAAAAAAATGCACATTTTGAAAGAAAGAAAGAAAGAAAGAAAGAAAGAAAGAAAGAAAGAAAGAAAGAAAGAAAGAAAGAAAAGCATTAAAAGCAGCTTACAAATAACCCTTAAAAACAGATGGCACAGGCCAATTATATAAAAACCAGAGCAGAGGGACGAAAAGGGGGAAAGAAAAAGAAAAAAGGGTCATCTGCTAGATTTAGTGTGGAAAGCCTCCCTGAAAAGCCACATCTTTAGTTGCCTCCTAAATATAAAATATAAGTGTCTACCTTGGCTCAACGATCTCTGACATTCTCTCTCTAGATGTTGAGCTGGATAAACACATTGGCAAAGCAGCTACCATGTTCTCTAGACTCACAAAGAGAGTATAGCTTAATAAGAAGCTGTTGGCATATATAGTCGAGGTCTATAGAGACTGTATCCTGAGCACACCCCTGTACTGCAGTGAGTCCTGGATCCTCTATGCACGGCAGGAGAGGAAACTGAACATGTTCCATATGTGTTTTCTCCAACGCATTTTTGGTATCACCTGGCAGGATAAAGTTCCAAACAGAGTAATCCTAGAATGAGCTGGAATTTTTAACATGTATACATTACTGAAACAGCGACATCTACATTGGTTTGGGCATGTCGTGAGAATGGCTGATAGTCGGATTCCCAAAGATCTCCTGTATGGAAACTTAGTACAGGGAAATTGCCCCAGAGGGAGACCACAGCTGCGATACAAGGATATCTGCAAGTGGGATCTGAAGGCCTTAGGAATGGACCTCAACAGATGGGAAACCTTGATGTCTGAGCGTTCAGCCTGGAGGCAGGCGTTGCATCACGGCCTCTCCCAATTTGAAGAGACACTTGTTCAGCAGGCCGAGGCAAGGAGGCAGTCCCGAAAGCAGCAAAATCAGGGAGCTGGACAGGGGACAGATTGTATTTGTCTTCAGTGTTGAAGGGATTGTCACTCTCGAATTGGCCTTCTCAATCACACTAGATACTGTTCCAAGACGTCTGTTCAGAGCATGTTACCATAGTCTCTCAAGCCTAAAAAAATCTAATCTAAAATATCAACGGACAGGGGGCTAGGCAGAGCTCCTCTAGAAGGTGGTTCCATAAAGCTGGAGCCACTGTGAAGGAAGCCCTACCTCATATAGAAGACTTGTGGGCCTCCCTTGGAGTCACCACCCAAGAGAGCCTTGACTGAGATGATCTTGTGGGTTGGGCAGATGGCATTAAGGAAAGATGCCCCGACAAGTAACATTGGCCCAAACCGTGGAGGGTTTTGTATGTGAAACCTTAGCCCTGTTCTGGGATGCAACAGGCAACCAGTGGAGGCAAGCCAGAACCGGAATGATATAGTCAAATTTGCTCACACCCACAACCAGTCTGGCCACCACATTCTGGAGCCGTTGAAGTCTCCAGATCAGTCTTAAGAGAAGTGGTAGCCAATCTAGGATATGACCAGGGGCCGCACCAAAGTTCTGAGGGAGTTTTTGTCTAGGTAGGGGTGGAGTTGGGTGATTAAGCTGGATAAAGGCTGATCTGGACACAGATGAAATCTGGGACTCCCAAGAAAAAGCTGAGTCCAGTAACCTGGTTTGATTTGGACAAGTTACAATGTAGTCATGTCAGAGCAGATACAGAGTGCAAACATTTTCCATTATGTACATTGGTGCCTCGACTTACAAAGAATCCATTCCAGAAGATGGTCGTAACTCGAAATGGTCGTAAGTTGAAGCACCATTCCCATAGGAATGCACTGAAATGCTATTAATCTGCATCAGCGGGGGGGGGGGGGGGCCCCAAAAAAAAAAACAAAACACTGCAAGACCCATCAAAAATGCGATTAACCCATTCCAGCTGAAGGGCAGAAAAAAAACAAAAAGCAAGCAAACCCTGCAAGACCCATCAGAAACGCACACACATACACACACAAAGCAAACTAACCTTTCAGACCCATAGAAAATGAGGGGGAAGCAAAAAGCAAACAAACCCTGCAAGACCCATCAGAAATGGGGGGAAAAAACCAAAAGCAAACAAACCCGGCAAGACCCATTGGAAATGGGGGGAAACCCAAAAAGCAAACAAACCCTGCAAGACCCATCGGAATTGTGGGGAAAAACCCAAAAAACAAAGACTCCAAGACCCATCACAGCACAGAAACATAACCCCCCCAGCCCAAAACCACACTGCAAAACCCACCCAGAACAGGCAGTTTTTAAAAAGCAGAAAGCACCACCTTACCAGGCAATCTGAAGTCTCCTCCAAGACTCTCTATCCGCTGGGGTGAAAGAGCTACAAAGAAGCAGCCTCTTCGCCACCAACAGTTAGCAGTTTGAATTCCCCACCTTTTTCCCTACCTTTTTTCTAATCGTAACTCAAAGCTCCAGTCGTGAGTTGAAGCAAAATTTTTGCGGCCGCAGCTGGCCGTAACTCGAATTGGTTGTAACTCAGGACGTTCATAAGTCAAGGCACCACTGTATGTACAGACATTCAAGCAATATAGAATTGGGTGACCATCCTAAGAACCTCTGCCTCTTGCATTCTAGTTAGGCCTAAAACTTTGTAATTCCTATTTCCAAACAGAAGTGGGCAACACATGTGGTGGGGGTGCACATTTTATCCCCTCCCCTTCCCAGTATCCCTGCTGCCACAACTGAGCCAGTAAAATCCAGTTATGTAGCAATGGCAAAATAGTACTGTACAGTTTTTCCCAGTGCACTATTTTGCAACCATACCAGAAAATTTAGGGGCCCAGTGACCTGAAAAACAAAAACACAGCCTTTAAACAAGCCATTCCCACTTCAAAAGACATCATGTAATAAGGACACACCTTGCTCTGAAGTCAGTAAGTGTTCCTGGAAGCCAATGCCAATCAGCTTCAAAACAAGGCATGTTCTTCTAATCTGCTTTATTTAAAGGGAAGTGTTGCCCCCACCACTGTGCCTTTGAAGGTCAGGGTTTGCTACGGCCCAGCATTCTTTCTTTTTTCTTTCTTTCTTCGATTTAAATCCAGGCTGCCATTCGTGCCAAGACATTACTCAGCATCATGGTGGTGTTTTCCTAGCTGACCGAAAGGTGGCAATGTGCCCCTCCCAGCCCCTACAGTTTGTTCACCCCTGTGTTGGAACATATGCACTGGTCATATAATTAACTATACATGCATTTAAAATAAGCACTATAATAGGACATTGCTCATGCTCATTAGTTGTGTCTTCCAAGATGATAATTATTAGTTTGAATGTTATCCTTCCAACATTCATTGCCTGAATTAATTGTTATTCATTCAGAGTGAGCACAGAAAAAAGGTTCTGCCACAAGCTATTCAGATTCGTTACCGAAGAATGTGTAAGCCAATCTACTTGATGACATGAATTTAGCATAAGATACAATTAACTTCCTAATAGCTTCCATATTTTCACAGATACCTTTCTAAAATAATGAGCCAGCGCAGAAAGTGGGAGAAGAACTCTTACTTACCTCTACAGGAAAGCCACTTCTTAAGGCTCTGTTGTTAAATAAAAATATCACATCCATGAATTTTCCTGGATCTTAGCATCTAAGAGGGGCTCCGTGCTTCATCTGATTTGCATAGCAGTGGCGTTAGCTGCAAAAGGACCTGTTTTCCACAACAGTTCTCCACAGCTAATGATAACGAACACCCTTAAACATCTGATTGAAACTTTTATTTCAAAACTGTTTTATACTTTCCATAAACAGAAGCCATGCTTTATTTTTATACGTGGAGGATGGAGGACTTCCAACCAATTAATTAACTATTCATTGTTATTAAGCCAGCCCGCAAGTGAGGTCCTGTGAAGCATATATAAACAGTCATTCATTCATTCATTTAAAATATTTATATGCCATATTTCTCCTAAAAAAAAAAGATCCAAGGCAGCTTACAGTATTAGGAGAAGCAAAATTAAAAGTTAAGCAATACATTATTATAGAACTTAAAAAGAACTCAACAAGTATCCTATTAAAAACTTGTAGATAAAATTAGTATGAAAGACACATTAAAAACAATAGAAATACAACAGTCCCTTCAAGAACCCCCTCTTAGTCAGCCAGTCATTAAAAGCCAGCCTGCCTGAAGAGAAAGATCTTTGCCTGCTTGCAAAAGGGCAGCAAAGGATCAGGGCTGATTGATTTAAATCACTATTTACATTACTAGTAAGACTATATTTAAATCATGGCTTTCTACATAAAGACTTTCTTGCTGGTATAATCTTAGTATTTACGGCGAGATGAAAATTTCATATCTAGAACAACTGTTCAGATTAATTTTATAGTTATATAAAAATGTACGTATTTGTTTATACTATAAGAAACGTCATAATTATGAAATTTCTGTGAGGTGAACTGTTTCGAGTTTAATAGATTATTCATACTTGGACAACTTTTCTGCTATACTTTATCGGAAGGAGAAAAATAATCATTACCTCAGTAACAACAATTTAGATTGTTATTTAACTAAAAAAATAACATTTTGTATGTGCTTAAACATTCATGTTTGTTCTTTGATGTGGTTAAAGAAAGTATCTTTTAAAAATAAAACATAGAATATCAGCCCAGTCCACAAATGAAAAATGTAAAATACTGTCCTTTGTAGCTCACTTGTTTTCATTTTGTTTGTTTGTTCATAATCTGGAAAAGAAAAACAAGTTTTCCTGCTTTATCAGATCAGATCCCAAACAATTTCTCAGTTTAGAA